GGTCCACGTCAAGATCGACGCTTATAGTATAACAATAGCCGCCGAAATCGACAAAGCATTATATTATAATATTTATAATGCACAGGCACATCATAAATAATGATGGTACGCATTATATTATAATTATATATATTTTATATTTTATGCATTGTAATACAGGCAATAAATGCCATGTTACGATCGCGTACCGGCCAACGTATAGTCCATGTCGAATCCATAGAATTTGATGTTCTCCAGGTGCAGACTCCTGTTGACGAAAATTCTGGAATAAAAACGATTAATTGTTTGCATTAGTGCGGGCAGTCTAGAAAACGGCCGGCGGCTGCAGTTTATCGATAGCAAACACCGTTCCGTGTTGGGAGTGTGATAAATCATTAATTACACAATCGGTTGATTCGGGAGCTCGTCTAGCTATATTGTACAGTACTCTAGTGTATAATAATATAATAATACCTGAACATGCGAACATGCGCGCCGAGCTTAAGAGTGTTCGTTACGACGTTACTCGTTAATATATTATTATAATAATAATAATAGTATATGGTACACATGCGCACAGATGGGTTAATCAATATTATAGTAATATAGTGTATAGGTAATGACAATATTATTTATTAATTGACGATTTTTTCTAATCACTAKCGGTGTTCGTCCATCAGTTTTCGGTATTTTGCTTATTAAAGTCTTAGATAAGTGCATCCAAACAGATAATATCTGGTATTAWCAGATAGAAAGGACAGGCAGGCCGAAATAAAGGTAGATTGACAAAGTGGAGAAGAATTTAGCAGAGATAGGAATACGAGATGGAGAAACAATAGCACAGGATAGAGACAGATGAAAGCAAGTTTGTGTTGCAGCAATGGGCCTTAATAATGGCCTTTAATAACCGATAAGAAAAAAAAAATGTTATACAGTTCGCACATATACTATTATAGTCACATTAATAATTACATGATGTGTTTATGAACAGCGTAAATGCGTAACTATTTTTATAAATATATATATATATAATACAATATGATACAGTAAGCACATTTAAGTATTACAGACTGTATAGGCGCTAATAGAGGAAAGGATTTAGAGGCTGAGCGGCTGAACCCCTCCAAACATTTGCTAGATGTTGATGACATCAAACCGTATGTGTAGTCTCCGTCTTACAAACGTATAACATGGTAAAAATTCTTTTGCGCGGGATAACTTTATTTGTGCATTGTGCTACAATTTTATTATTTTATTGATAGCATTAGCCAATMATTTTTATAAATTAAATGWAAAAAACAATACAAAAACTTATCTTCTCAAACTGATAACTTTAATTGAATCTATATGCTATCAAAAAAATAAAATAGCTGTAGCACAGATAAAATTCTTCCCTATWCGTGGTTGAATTTCGGTAATTCTACTATAAATACAGAGAGAGTAAWGTTTTTCAGCGCAAAACAATTTTTGCTATCTAGTACGATTGTAAGAYAGAGGCAACACATGCGGTTGTAGCGTTCTCTTAAGCTTATTCAATGTTATTAATAAGGCTTTGCCCCCTTCCCCCTTCCTTCATTGACGTAATATGTGTGTTTGAAAGGGAGTTATAATTTGCACAAGGACATTTTTTAAAACGAATCTATCTTTAAATTATGTTGTCCCTTTGATCGTTACAAGTAGTTACTTATTTATTGTATGTTTAACGAAAAACAAAAATGTTTTATTATAAATTCTTCTCAGTTTAAAATTTCAGACTTCAAAGGTTTATAAATTATATTTATTATTGATTTATATATTTAGATGTGTGTAATCCGACTGGGTCTCCCATTATATTTTAAGTCAAAATTGACCACAATTTAAGCCCTAACTACACAACAATCCAACTGGAATAACTCTATTTATTATCATAACAAAAATACTATAATGCGAATAAGTTTGGCCTATATCATTACCAATACCTCATACAACTATACAAGACRAATTATACATAATACATTGTATCGTTATCATTTCGTTGTACCATAACGCTATTAAAAATCAATAATACAAATATAGGAATGTATCAATACGTATAAAATATTAATTATAAAGTTCCGTAATAATATTATATAATCTTATACCGTACAATAATAACATCACGTTTCTACGACGTGACGCTGGAATAATCAATGTTGTTATGAAACATAGGCACACGCGATAATTCTCTTATTCTTTCTAATCGAAGAAAAATCATAGAAACTTTAAATTATTAACGTGTTTAGTGGTGGTGTTAAAGGCATTTATATTATAGCACTCCCCAACCCCGACTAATTACTAAAAAATCATTCCCAAGGCCACAAATAATATATAGTTTTTTTGTTCTATGATAGGCACACCATAATATACAATGATTTAAAACAACCCTGTTTCGGGTGAAATAAAAATATCGAACAAATAATTATCATAACTATAAAAAATAATAAAAACAATAATAATAACGACAATAATAAAAACAATATGATATTTCTTCGATAATAATACTATATAAGTRGCTTGGTGAGGCGAGGTCGTACGCTCAATCTGCGGAAACACACTGAGCGTACATACCGGCCGCAGTTGCTAGCTCCCGGATGGGTGACCACCCGGGATTTTCAGCAACATATCCTTGTCACACATATTATAGATTGTTATTACTTATTATTAATACTTATTAAAATATTTGATTTGCCAGTGGATTTTTTTTGTTTGTTTGATAAAG